GCTGTTTCAGCTACCGACCAAGATTCTTGTTCATCGCGAGGTCTCACGCCACCGACTTGTTGGGGGAAATGAGCTGCGTCTGGACGAACTTGTCGCTATTTCTAGAGAAGACCAATGGTGCCAAGTCGTAACCGAAAACGGAGGCTGGGCAATCTTGATGAAGTAAAACTCATATTCCCACGTACTTTACGACTGAGGGTAACTCTGGCTATTCACCAGGTGCCGGTTACAGCTCTATTTTATCCATCGGCACACACTAAATATTCGGACCACCCTTTCTCATCGCGAAGTACCGGCGAACACAAATTATCCCGCAGCTGCCTCTCGTAAGCTGGCGGCATGTTAAATCTTTTCGAGTATTATGGCGTGTGTCTAAGGTTGAGATGAGCCAGATCTCTAACTCGCTCTTTGAGTTTGCCGTCGAAATGCCTAGTATAAGTCGTTTGAACTGCATCGCTGCTCGAAAGAAAAAAGGCGCTCGTTTAATGGGGTGGTAGAGACGTCGCTCCTTCTGCAACAGAGCTCTTTAAGACCGGCTGGATCGTAAGAACGGGGTTGTCGTATGGCTACAGTAAGTCCATAGAACAAAGAATGTATGTATGAAACTAGATGTTCGGAACAAACTTAAGTCTTTTATCGATTAGGCCACGAGCGGTTTGATGTAGCAAAGTTACTATTTTGCTTATAAACCGCAGACACTGCTTTTCCAGGTATTTTATAACACCTTCTGCCGCACGGCATGATCGTGTATGCTTTGCCTGCCTCTGGCACCGGCATGCTTCTCTCTTTTTCTGCCATTTCGTCATGCACCTTGCATATGACGCTCAATATCCGCGAGATACAACCGTTTAACTTGCTCAGACGGGTAGCCATACGATATTGGCAATTTGATTTGGAACAAGTGTCATTCCCCAGAAAGACCGAGGCAACTTCGTGGTGGTGGCGATGGTGCGAGGGGCTCACCAAGCCATTTTTGTAATTTATTGTGTAAGCTTCGTAAAGGCTTGTATTGTGTTTGTCAGCTGAAAATTGATGTGTGGGGGCATCTCACTCCAGGACGCGGTCTCTCTGCATATGCTTCGGATGATGTAACTCTAACCACATCCGAGATTGCTTCGGTCGCTGTAGCGACGTCCAAGCTCTCAACCCCTGGATAAAGTCAGCAGTTTTTCGCTTTCCTTGGCGGATAGACAAGAGCTTGGACCCATTCGATTTCTTCGATTAGGCGGTGCGAGATCTCTCGCTGTCTCTTACTCTCAATCATCTCATACTAATAACGCCACTTTTTCGAAGTACCGCACGTTTTTGCACGCGGCTTCCGTACTGAAGACTGCAAGAGGGATGTGCTGCCGCATAGTTTGAAGCATGGTCGAATACTTGTTCATCTTAACTTCATCATCAGACGGAACGACTTTCTCCGCCCCGGTCCCAAAGGCTAGAACCCCAAGTACAGCATAGACGTCTTCTTTTCGATGTTACATCTTAATAAAAACTGAAGTTTTTGTAGTCATGAATATTTACAGTTTTAATTAAAATATTGTAAACTTCACTCAACTGTACCCAACTGTACTGGATCCAGTTATACCAAATGCGTATGGAAAAAGTACACATAATTACAGCATTTACCTTGTTACACCACGTGTCACATTGACGTCTCCTTTACGAAGTCTGATCGTCTCGAAAGTACCAATATTTTGGTCCTCTTGAGCAACCCACAATATCCCAATAGAATAGCAGTAAAGTGATTCTGCTCAGTTACAAATGCACTGGTAACGTACACGATTGTATAAAACGTACTTCGTTACAGAAAGCCAATCATTAATTTTTCTGGAAAATATTATGACACACTGCGAAGTAAACGGCGATTAAGAAGAAACTTAGTTCAGCCTAAGCGATGGGTCAATCAATTCTCATCAGAAATTTCTAAGATCTCATGAAACACAGCCGCGTGAACCTCGTCCTCTGCCGGCTCCGTGCATTGATCAAGATTAAACACACTTCTAAGTTGTACATATTTTAGGTTAAAACGTTCAAAGGAGCGTACGGGTATCTGACGGAGTAGAAGGGTTACCCGCGCCAGACAAATTAGAGCGATGATTTCTCTAACAAAAAGGTTGTTCTAGACGTCGATGGTGCTTATGACTTTAAACGCCATCAGCTGTCATCCATCTGGTTAATCAGCAGGATTGTGTAGAGCAAAACGCATATAAGCAGCGATCAAGACTCGACTTTGTTCCAAAATCGAGACCTGACCAGTAACTGTACACGGGGACACAAGGGTATGAACAGGGTTGCTGTGATCACGAGCAGGATACGAGGGTGAGTAAGATTCTGATTAATGCTAATGTCGCGCTTGTCCTCCGCAAAAGTCAACCATCTGAGGCCGATCTAACCTCGCGAATATTTTATCAATAATAGTTTGTAAGTCCGCGAAATTAGTAAAGCGATGTTTCCTGTTCGATCAATTTAATCCATGTAGTCATCGACTCGATCGCCAATCCGTAGCAATTCTGATTGAGGCACTTATTATTTCAACCGTCGTCAAACCAAAGGCTAGCGGTCACCCTGAGAAATTGTGGTCTTTGGGATCAAAAACCGCCTATGACGCAAATTTTGTGCTTGCACTTTGCTCTTTGAGAAAATGTTATCGGAGCTGAGAGCTGCGTCGCGACGCGGCGAGCTGGATTGGTCATTTCAAGCTATAAATGTAACGCTAAATTGTCCTGGGTGAGTAACTCCTGGTGGGCAAGTGTAGTTTGCTAAGGTCCTTCACAACTAACGGGTTAGAATTTGTCGTAATCAACTAAGACTCTGAACGCTCCTCACTCTGAGGAGTGAGTATGACGTGCGGAACTCAAACAAAATGAGATTGAGCGTTGGAAGGCTATCACAGACGAAAATATCTGTGTAATCTGCTGTGAGGGTATAGACTAAGTGCTAATTGGATCTGGCAGATGTCATCGAAGAAAACTTCTTCTTACCCTAACGAGTCCTGTATGAAGTCGGCCGCTCAATCTGCGTTTTTTAATTGAAAATTTTAATTTGAATTTCCTACACCGGCGGTTGTTCGTTGTTTTTAAACTAGTAGTGTGTATGTGAATTATGATATTTGGCATGGTAAATGCTTAGAGCGTTTGCACTAAACTTGCGCTGAGTCTTTACAAAGCTTTGATGATTGTCATCCCAGAGCTTTTCGGTTGTTGTAAGGGAGGATGTTGCAAGATATGCATCTTGTTATGCTGTAAGTACACATAACAGTGCTGCTTCGTGGGTTATAAGTGGATCTCTTAAGTACTACGGTGGTTATACGATCATGAAGTGCTGTATTAGTTTCTTGCTACGAGCTGAGTTTGATAATACTTAATATGGAAACGCTTCTCGTTAATCACGTTTAGATTTTAGCACGGTGTTAATTAAAGAAGAATATAACAGTCAAAGGTTCAATTTTTCAGAATTTCCGATGACCATTTGCTCTTGCTATCACTTTTTGTCTCGTGAGTCTGGAATGGTGTAAGTGGGGTCAGTGTGTATGGTGCAAATGTCTTGGATGAATGAGCTACGACATTGTATTTATGTTTGGTCTATCGAGGGTATCAAGAGATGCATAGTCATGTCATTCAAACAATATTATAGTCATACCAACAAATTGAAGATGTCAGTCATAGAAAAATAATAAAAGGCAGTCCTTGTCGTGGGGGCGTGTTGGAAGCAGAAATTGACACCTTGCAATACTGGTGGTAACATGTCTAACACTCGTTGACGTGGACAGAAATATATCACAAAGGATACATTTCGATTCAACCTTGGTCGACAGATCAGCGATTACTCATGTCATGTCGTGTGTCGGAGGCGCCGCGATTTGAGCACGGGGTTACTTGATACTCGATAGCGTGTAAGCGTTAAAACACCGAGACACTATAAATAAGCTTCTGCCTTTAGTTATCCCTGAAGATTTAACAAGATCGATAATGACTATATCGCGAGCTTAGATCGGCTCAATTCAATATAAGGTGTTCACCGCGTTACAGCACAACCCTTCGTCACTTGTGCGTAGGCCTCCAGCTTAGTTTGAGAGCGAAAAACGTAAGGTTGACTCATTACGAGAGCACGTTAAGACTACAGAAGTCATTATTTTCACTTGAGTACGTTCTACCGAAATAGTGCGACGACGTACATGAGTGCTCTTAATGATGGCTGTACTATAGTACAGCGGTCTGTTGACAACGCCAAGGACAATATGAATCAATCTGAAACTTAATAAAAATCAATCTGAACATGGTGAAATTATTGACGAAGGCGCTGCCGGTGCCGAAGGTCCTGAAGCTTTGCGAGCTGCTACGGCTCCAGTGAGCGTTTAAAGTGGTCGAGAGACACTGGGAAGGATTGTTGAAATTCGGGGGGATGATAGTATCCCACGGAGTCAGTACAGATTCTACGTGGCCTTGCGTCGAGGGCACCAGTGAATTGCAAGGACGACAACTGCGTCAGGAAAGTAACGCGAGCAAATGCTACCAAGTACAACGGGGCTGCCGAAACCGCGCACAGAGAACGCGTTGGCTCTTACAGTCTGCATTATATATTGTACCGACGATGGGCTCACCTGGCGTGCTGAAAGGAGAGCCTCTTTAGCAAATAGTACTTTTTGCTCATTAGTGTTTGTATTACGCTACCTTTACAACGGCCCTACTTTACTACCTAATAATAACACACTCAGCAGACAATCGCATCCAATGTCGTCATCGCGAACTGCGACTATTCTGAGCTCATCCTTGACAATAAAAACATCGCATGAGCAGTCCTGCTCATATGCAAATAGCTTGTTGTAATGATAAATTAACGATGCTGGATATGTGCTCTAACCGAATAAAATAACTTGACCGTGTTCGCAAAAACACGCGCCTTGCGACCCTCCCTGAGAGTGTTTTTTATATGTATCCTCAGCTGTCATTCCTAATCTTACCGAATAATTAGCTCGCCTCACTCAAGACCACTACATTCCCATGAAGATTGCGTTTTTCTCCACACACAGTTACGACATCGAATCATTGGACCGCATTGCTAAGGAAGATGGCGTGACTCCCGCTCACGAGATCACTTTTCTGGCTCCACGTCTGGATCAGATGTCCGCTAAGCTCGCCGAGGGCTGCGAAGGCATTTGCATTTTTGTAAATGACATTGCTGATGAGCAAACGCTTCGTGTTCTCTATGCCGGTGGCACTCGTGCTGTGTTTCTGCGCTGTGCTGGTTTTGACATGATCGATCTCAAGGTCGCCAAAGAGCTTGGCATTGCCGTGACACGCGTACCAGCCTATTCACCGTATGCAGTGGCCGAGCATGCGGCTGCTTTGATGATGACTCTTAACCGAAAGATTCACCGTTCATACAATCGTACGCGTGAGCAAAATTTTCGTCTGGCTGGCTTGTTGGGCTTCGATGTTAATGGCAAGACAATTGGCGTTGTAGGCACGGGTAAAATTGGTGCGCTCTTTGCTCGTATCGCAGCTGGCTTTGGTGCCAAGGTACTTGCTTATGATGTAGTACAGAGTCCAGAGGCTCTGAGCTACGGCGTCGAGTATGTAAGCCAAGACGAGATTTGGGCGCGTGCAGACATCATTTCGTTGCACGCTCCTCTCTTCCCAAGCACGAAACACATGATCAATAGTGAAAGTATTGCCAAGATGAAACAAGGTGTGACGATAATCAATACTAGTCGAGGTGGTTTGATTGACACCAAGGCTCTTGTGGAAGGATTGAAGAGCGGCAAGATCCGCGGTGTTGGTCTTGATGTGTTTGAAGGAGAGGGCGAATACTTTTATTCGGACTGTTCAGGTGGGATCATCGCTGATGAGACTCTCGCTCGTCTTTTCACATTTCCGAATGTGATAATTACGGGCCACCAAGCTTTCTTTACAAAAGAGGCTTTGGACAGTATAGGTCACACTACGATGGCCAACATCAAGGCGTATATCGCTAACGAGCCGCTAGTAAATGAGGTCAAATAAGGTCTTTTACTACTACTCACTTTGATGATAGCATTGATATTAATTATATATTTTATATCAAGCATGGCTTCAGCAAGTGCTAATCGTAATGAGACAACTTTTTCTATCGCAACTGCCTCAATGCACCTTGATACAAATTGCACCGGGCTTCGAAAGCGGTGCAAAATGTGAAGATCTACGCTGCTTGACGTACCTCATCTTCTTGATTGTAATTGAAAGACATTTTTATCGAATTTGCAAACTCAATAGCAACGATTCCCTTTACCAAAAGTTTCGTGAAAGGTTTTGGTGCCAAGCTTTGACTCCATGAAAGTTTATAATATGCTAATGTTCTGCAAATTGGCAAAGATGCAACTCTGATACGAGTAATATTGGAGCTGTACAGTTCGAATGCACAAGGTGCACATAGCACGAGTGCAATTGGAATACGTACCACTTCCAAAAATTTGGCACCTTATTCGCCAAGCAATCGGATGCCCTTACGTGCGCTTTTGCTCGACAAAACAGCAGCTCGAATGAATAAAACGCGAGTTTCTTCGGTAAAATATAATTTTTCCTGGTAAATCATTGACCACTTTCATTGGCATATACATTTGGGATGTTGAGGATGAGAGAAATTCACGCAATAATTTACCAAGAAAAATTATATCCACGTTTTGAGTTGTGACGTATAACCGTTTTCCTTTGAATCCGTGGAAGCCGCGCAGCCTATAAAATTGAGTGTGGTTGTCTCCGTCCAACATATTTATCTAGCACCATCAAAAGCAGCAATTCTTTAGCTTCAAGAACCGAGGTCCATTAGAATGTACTTATAATAAGCACTTTATTCTCCAACCACGTGCTTTGCAACAATCGGCCGCTCTCGTGAATATTCATTTCATCTAGCTACTTGTAACGACATCATGTACAGAAGGAGCAAATAACGAACAATAAGCATAAATCAATAAGAAAATTGGGCGCAATATGGGTCAAGCAATCAAGCTTTTTGAAAAGCACCACCACAAATTTTAGTTAATGCGTAAACAAGAAGAATGTCGACTAGCGTCAATTCGTATCCTATTGCGACTGCACTATTCTCACTGCGCTTTGTAGCGTGATAAATGCTTAACTCTCACTAATCCACTACATTTTGACAAGGGAAATATTGTCAGCATTCCGTCTACCAACAGATTTTCGAAGAGCTAATTGCAGGTGGTCCACAACATCGATAAAGCGTTTGAGCAACGTGACAAGAATGAGCTCGCAGCGTGGCAACGTAAAGAAGCGCGCGCCCAAGCATCAGAATGCTTTTGCATTCAAGCACAACCCAAAGTCTAAAAAGACAGAGCGTATTTTGTCAATGCCCATTCTGGGATTGTGCGAAAAATGTCGGAAGCAGATTGAGTGGCGCAAGAAATACCGCAAGTACAAACCGCTATCGCAACCAGGCTCGTGGTGCGTACAATGCTTTCATAAATCACATTTAAGTGATTGCAAAAAAATAATGAACATTTGTGCTTGTAGTATTTACTGCCATCAAAAGACAGTGACATCCGCGTATCATGCTTCTTGCGAAGTTTGTGCCAAGGTAACCTGAGGCGCTCAATTTCAACATTTGCAGCAATACAATGTACTGATGGCGATGATTGTGTGCTAGGAGCGAGATGTATGTGCTAAATGCTGCTCGGCAAAGGAGGTCGTGGCGAGGTTCGTCTCTAGGTTCAATATTTGTGGCTTAGTTGTGCACGAGGTCTGACTCTGCTCTGATGCTGCGACTAAAAACAGTGAGCAAGAGCTGTTGGCAGCGCAGGAATCAAAGCGATGCGAGCTTGAAAACACACTAGAAGGCATGCGCGAACGCGATCGTCGAGCATACGTGCGTAAAATGGATAAGGAAATCGAGTCAATTAGTGATGAAGAAGGCCGTACAGGAGCCGAAGCCAACGATTATGAATCGTACCAGGAGGAGAACGAGGACATGCAGTGAGGGATTTTGGCCAATAAAAATGTTAGAAATTGCTATTTTCATTTGTTTTTCCTTTGGATAAATGACGCAGTCTCAGTCGACACAGGAAGCCTGGGAAACATGGTGGCATACAACCAAGGGCGGCAGCATGCGAACTTACATGTCCATTGTCTTATTCTTTCTTTCTACTGTCTTAGCCAACCCTATCGCTCGATGTCTTTTCTGGATCGTTCGCAAAGCCTGCCCTAAGAAATGGATGTACGTGAAATCACACAACTTGTCAGGCGAAGCTAATAAAATATGCTCGTAGATGGCCGAATGATGCACGGGTCATGATGATGTGGCAAACATCGCTCTTGTGTCGTGTCGGTTTGTTATGGATTACTATTTTAGTCTCGAGGCTGTCACTATTGTTGTACGATTGGCCTGCGTGGATCTTTGGAGTCTGTTTCATCATCTGGCTTGATGCTGGAGGCAATGTTCTACGAGAAGTTATTGCACGTAACGGAGTAGTGGGTTATATGGAGCACGAAAAGGCTGGCCGCATGACGTTACTATACGAAGGCAGTACGTTGGCCAAGATGCTACTTCTTGTGCTGATAATCTACACATACTACGTATCGCCACGGATCGAGGATTCAAACGAGCTACGGCTATTATTCTCTGTTGGTTTTTTTGTATCTATTGCATTGGGTGCTCTACCTTTGGTATGGAGTTGAATATTTTTGAAGCTGGCTGACGATGGTTAATTAAACTTTGTCTTATGTGCTCAATCTAGCTGCGCAATGTCATGGGTGCACACTACATGTTCTTGGCCAACATGTTGCATCTAGATTCAAGAGTCTATTTGCACGGTTCAAAAAAGGGGACAGTTTGCGATGCCCCTCTGGGGTTTATTGTTCTGGCAACTGCGGACAGCACTAAGACATTTATCCCCGCGGGTGGCACAGTGAGCAATACTACTGAAATATTTCATCGGTTTCTATGGCCGCTTCGTTTGGATGTTCATCTGTCAGCCGAGACTCCGGTGAAGCGCGTACGCGAGTTCGTACAAGATATGGATAAGCTACTTTTCTGGGAACCTGTGGTTGTGCTTGCATCGGACGGTAGTGCTTCATTGGACGCGGAAGGAGTGTCGACGTTCTTGGATGTGTCGAGTGAATCCACCAGTGCTCACGGCTTTATAAATTCATCTGAAACGACAACGAAACTGCTGTTTGACGAAAATCAACAGGAACAGGAAAGAATTATCCAGCGCGCACGAGGCAATGAGGGCTATGTTGCGTTGGAGCCTAATCGCCGGTGGGTCGTCCAACTTCGGACTTTTGTGCAAGCTCAACAGAAGATCCACTATCGTCAAACGCGAGCTGCTGTAAGTCGATCGTGTACTTACATATAAACTTGACTGACTTTATTGTTCTACCATTTCTTGGTTATGAGAAGTACATTGAGGCCATCATGAAATTGATGGAAAAACAAGGAAATCATTTTGGGACACGAGCTGTCGTCGTTGAGCGTCACTCCAACCGTGATTGAGAATAGTATTGACGCATTTGTCTTAGCTGGCCACAATATTGAGGCTACTATCATAATGGGGTTTTCTCACGTTCTCTAATCGCATTTGCATTCGATCATCGACAAGTACAGTGCATTGTAAGCAGAACTTGAAGCAGTTCTTCCGGGCTAAGCTTCAAGCACAAATGGTTGAGATTGCTGGTCAAAATGACCGCTCACAGAGACAATCGCCACTTGCCGTCTTTAGAAGTCACGTAAGTCAATAAACACTGACATCTTGTGGGCGCTCACACCACTCATACCTCTGTTGTGTTCTTTTGCGTCGAAAACAGTATTCTAATGAAATAACGTCAAACATCTAGCGCGGCGCAAAAGCTTTCACTATACGGCAAAAACAAGTCCTTAAAGCCAGTGCGTTGTACGATGGGTTTCAATCCATCAACCGTTATACATACATACACAAAACGATGTGATGAAGTATTTTGAAGAGCAAGCAAAAACAACGATCATGCCTGGTCACGTGAGTTAACGTTAATAATACGACGAGTGCATCTAGATCGTTCTCGAGCTTCCACGGCCTTTGATCAGAATTTTTGACGCCGACATCCTAATATTCCAATAGCAGATCCGGACAGCACATTAAGTTTTTTTGATGCAGCAACCCAACAGAATAATCGCGTGAAGAATTTTCGTAATCTGGGGCTTACTGGCAAACAGCGCATCTTAAGTGATCTTGCATTCAACGGGGAAGTTTATCGACATAAGGTCAAATAAAAATGAATTTATATCTACGGAGAATAGTACAGTTAAGAATGTGTAGGCAACGTGTTTGCATTAGATTCAATATCCAAACAGTTACGTGGGGTATTAGCTACATTGTTAAGATGATAGTTGAACGGGCTTGATGGTTTATGTCAGCAACATTTCGCATCTAATCTATTAGTAGCTAAGCAGTGAATATCTCGAATTAAAGCCTTGAGAAACAATTGTCGCCCGACTACCATGGTAATCACATGATATGTCAATTGTTCGAAGGTGTTGAGCCTTCCGATTTCTATAACAAACACGAGAACGGCACTCGCGACTTCTAATCAAATCTCGCTAACACCATGTATTTAATAATCCTATCGTTATCAATAGCAAGGCTGATATTCAAAAGGTGGTTTTGAAAATCCGTTCTATGGAGCTGGCTGACAAACTGATTTACCCCAGCTCTGGATGTAAGCTCAAGCACGTTAAAAAAATTATTTGCCATCGCGACCATTCTTTCCGAGACAGCAAAGCTGACGTTCATGTTCTTTACATCCATAGCATCGATATGCATTAGGATAAGCATCAATGTCCTAACTCTGAATCAGCGCTGAAAAAATTAGTGTAACGGGGTTAAACGTACCCTTTTATGGCAGGGATGGTGTGACCGTACAAAAGGTGTGGATTTTACAAGTCGGTGTTATCACACAATGGTGTGGCTATACCATAACAAGTACCAATAGTTGTGCATTTTGAACAGGTTTTACTATTTAGTTAGGAAAACCTAAGGTTTTGGGTGTGGGCGGCTCTGCCGCTACTAAAACAATTAAATACAGTCTCAATTCTGAATAGAAAAGTTTATTTGTCTTCGTTGAGGTTTTGGGTACTTTGGGATGCAGCAGATTGCGATCCGCTACACACGTGCAGGTTTTAGTAAAGAACACGTAAGGTCGGTGACGTTAGCTTAGCTTTCTCTAAGCGAAAGAGCTGCGGCAGTCTCGCGGAACTGGGTAGCACTCGTAGACAATTTACGCCTGAGCCGTTATGACTGGTCCTCCGTGAGGATGGAACAATACAAAAAGGCATGCAGCACGGTCGTAATAACCTGATATCCCTACTTGGCCTTGAGGGCGTGGAGCACCTCGTTGCGCAAGGTCACGAATCGATAAACGCGCGCCTAGAGGCGTTTTCAAGCTATGAAAATGCTCTGCTAGAGCACATACAGCAGAAGCAGACGACGTCGACTGCGTCCATGACGCCACCTTCGACGACAGGTGAATCCATTCGACTCAGGCCACTCATGGTGAGCGTTAAGACCTTCGAGGATACGAATGGAGAGACTCTCATGCTCTAGGTGAGAGAGACCGAGATGGTTATTGCATCCGCCATGCTTCAGAACGAGCGACAGTGCGTGGCGCTAGCTATCTTCAAGCTTGGGGGCAGGCCACGAGAATGGGTACTAACTTGCGGTGCTTCGGTTGAAGCGGCATTTCTCCTCTGGAAGGAGCTGTATCGTCAGCTTTGCAAATGTTCTCGCCGCCTAACCAGGCATTTTGCGTGAGATCGTGTTTCCTTGCCACCCGACAGGGCAAGGAGTTGGCGGACTTTGTTCAAGATTGAGAAATCTTATTGCCAAAATGGTAGCCCGAGGCGGTCACAATGACCATCTTTGAGAAGGGCCTCCGCACTGGCGCGGCCAGAATAAAAGTCTTCCGTGTGCATCCATCCGTCTTCTTTTGAAGAAACATTGAATATGGCTTTAAATGCTGCATTCAAACTGCAATTCACGACTTGGTTGGAATGCTCACTCTCAGAGCACGTCGAGCGAACCTGAGCCAATGGATCTCAGCTATGCTGGGATAAAGGATGGAGATCTCCGAGTTGCCGGGTAGCCTTTAAACACCCGACAATGTTTTGTCTGTGGAGGCACCCATCACCTTCGGACTGGTTGTTCCCTGAACAGGGCGCGTAGAGGTTCATCAAACCGAGGTCTCGCTTTTAATCAGTCTGGTTTGTCACGAGGAAACAAGGACACTCAGTAGGCGCGTGGTGCTCTACTGAGGAAGAACTGATTTCTATTGAGCCTCAAAGAGGTAGAGGTCAGCAGGGCCCAGCCCCGAAGAGCCAGGTGCTCTTGAACACAGAACGGGTATGCAAGCTCGTCGTAAAAGCGACCGTCAAGGCTTTGAGAAGCTTTGGAAGATCCCTATTGATTTCAAAACGTCGAGCAATTTTGCTCGAGGCTCCACGATCAAAGGAAGCTAGCTGTATGCTGAGGCGCTGGAGGCGGCGTTGAGTGACACCATCACTGTTCGCTTAGCGGCGGATGTTGTGTCACTGTGCTGAAGGTCCCTCTGAACCTCGGAGTCATATGTCTTGACTTTATAAGCGTGGATAGCAGTCTAGCCTTAGACTTGGATGCAAGGTATATTGGTGAGTTCAGTACTCACCTCGGTTAGATATCAGAAGCGCTTTTGGCGGGGGCACTTGACCGGGACGGTCAATGTGCTGGATCTCGGAGTATCCGAGTTGTCGAACACTGAAAGTGTATCGGACGAGAGTCCCGAGCATGGCTTGCGGGCTGAACATGGAGTGGCACGTTATCCACTGACCACTGCTCAAGTATCAAAGCAGTTCCTGCATGCCAAGCGTGGCATAGTCGGCCAAGGGCCGAGGCATTGGGGCAAGGCCCTAGTGATGCGCGTGGGGTGGCTCGTAGTCCACTGACTACTGCTCACGTTTTAAAGCAGCTGCTAGTGGTATGGTCGGACGAGGTCGATGGCATCTTGCGCAAAGCCGTTCTGATGCGCGTGGAGTGGCACGTTATTCACTGGACTAAGGCTGCGGAAATAGCAGCTCGTCGTCGGATGTTGTTAATAACATCAAGGCTCCGATGGAACAGGAAGCGGGGGCTCCGGACGACGTTGTCCGATCAGTCTCGATGAGATGTAAAACCTCTAAAGAGAGTAGACGACGATGCCGTATTTTATCTGCAAGACTCAGGGCGTCGACCCTGACCCTGGGTGTCTCTACCGTAGATGATAGCGCACAACTATACACCCTTGTCAACGATGTGACTGGAGAGAAAGACGGCGACGTCACCCTCGAGGCTATTCCCGCGGTGGATGCTCTTCTTGAGCTGTACTAGATGTAGTCTGACGTTGAACTGAAGGCCGGCGATTTAGCCAAGGTGGTCATGATAGGACCGAAATGGGTGGTTAACTCGTCGTCGCTTCTGGGTGAAACTATCCTGGTGGACAACAAGAGGGTGCTGAATGCACGAAGTTGATTATCGATCTGGAAAATCTATCGGATCCGTATTATCCTTTTGTAAAAGAATATGAAGACGTCGTATCTAAAGACTCGTTATCGCCCGCCTCCGGTGTGTCACGAGATTGACCTGGTTCCGGGAACCAAATACTGCGTCACTCGTCAATGGCCCCTGCCTAAACACCAATAGGACGTCATTGACGCCTTCTTCCGTGCGAAGCACGACGTACAAATGGTGCGTGAGAGCAAGTCTCCCCATTCATCACCCACGTTGTCCTGAAGCCGAACAGCTAGTGGCGTATCGTTCACGCCTACAACAAGCTAAACGCAGCCATCATTCCTGCTCAGACGCCGATTCCTAGGAAGAATGTTCTCCGGAATAATATACCTGGCTGTATAAAGTACAGTGCAATCGACTCGGTCGATGGATATTACCAATTGCTCATGAGAGCGAGTGATAATCCGCTGGTAACGGTGCGTACCTCGAGCGGGATGCTTTGGGAATGGCTAGTGATGCCTCAAGGGCTGTCCAATATACCAGCAACATTTTATGGTCTTGTAACGCAGTTGTTCAGGCCCCACCGGGCGTATGGACAAACATACTTCGACGACATCTTCGTCCACAGTCGTGCGGGGCACGTGCGGAAAACTACATCGTCCATTTGGGAGCGGTGTTCGAGTGCATGCTCACAAATAAGCTGTATGCTAATGCCAATAACTGCATCTTTAGCGCGGAAGAAACTTCCTTTTTAGAGTGCTTCATTACGAAGTGTGGCCTTCGAGCGGATCCCGCTACTGTCAAGGCCATTGTGGACTGGCCGGTTCCAACGTTCCAAAAGAACTTGCGCAATTGGCTTGGCGTCGCCAACTACATACACAAGTATAGCGCATATCATGCGGAAATGACACGACCTTTGTCTAATCTCCTTAAGATGAATACAGAATGGTGTTGGGACACCGAGCATCGAAATGTTTATGACAGGGTCAAAGACAGCCTCCTTCATGCACCAATACTGGCGTTGCTAGACACGATCGTCCTTTTAGTATCGTCTGTGACGCTTTGGACTTTGCCATCGGCTGTGCGCTGCTGCAAGTAGACGCCGAGGGGCGAAATCGGGTGATCGCGTTCGAATCTTGCCAGCTAAAGGCTGCAAAGATGAACAACCCAGTCCTCGATAAGAAATCGCTTGCGATGAAATATGCACTTTTCAAATTCAGGGTACACCTGCTCGGCTCAAGCCGTTTGTGATCTACACAGATCACGCGTCATTACAAACTACAAATTAGTCGTCTTACCTCTCGCAGAGGATGGTCAGGTGACTCCCTTTCTTTGCAGAATAACTTTAAGGTGAAGTATAAGCCAGGAAAGAACATTGTTTTGGCTAATGCTTTGTCACGCAGACCGGATTATGAGCTTACTCATGTCACGACGGCGACGTCGTCAGTGATGGATTTGATTTGTGCCGCATACGCGCGTGATGGTATGTGTAGTGTTGCTACAGGCTCTCGGGAGCAAGAAATTAGGAAACTCGGACAAGAAATTGTCGGTGCGATTGCGCCCACAATTACACCGATGTTCGTTGAATAACGGTTTGCTATACAATGACACCAACTCAACGGATACGCCACGAATTGTGGTTTTTCACGGTGATCATTTAAAATAATGTATTCTCTGTGAGGCCCACGACACCCCACTCAGTGGTCATCTTGGTCGTGAGAAGACGTACAGCTCTGTGGGTTGCCACTACTGGTGACCCAAGCTGTACAAATGGACGAGCAAATATGTGCGCACGTATCAGACGTGTCAGAGGGTGGAATCCTCTCGAAATGCGGCGGCGCTGCTGACCTGTTTACCGGTACTATCTAGGTCTCTTTGGGTGTTAGTAGTCCATACTCGCCAAAGGGCTTAGCGGGCAACACGGGTGTATTTGTCTTTGTGGACCATTTGATCAAGATGGCTCATTTTGCGGTAGCGCCGGACACCATCGACGGTGTGATGCAGCGAAGCTGTACATCGATCGTGTCTTTCGACAACATGGACTCCCGGAGTTAATTGTCTCTGATATGGACTCACGCTTCACTGGGAAGTTTCGGTTGACAATCTTCAAGGTGATGGGCACCAATTTCACTAAGTCAACAGCGGACCATCCGCAGACCGATGGTCAAACCGAGCGCGTGATTCGCGTCGATGAAGACGTTGTTCATACCGTCTGCGCTGAGATGTCGAAGCGCTGGAGCACCATGCTGCTACTCGTAGAGTTTGATCTGAACAATGCAGTACATTCATCCACCGACTACACGCCGTTCTACTTGAGCGGGCTTGTTCATCCTCGCGTTAAGCTGACGACGCCATCCCATGGCTCAGGGCTTGTTGAGAAGAGGAATAGCCGAACGGCTAGCTGATGTCAGTCCCTTCATTTTCCGCAAGGAAGTTGATGACTTCTTGTCTACCAGACTGAGTGTCCTACGACACGTTCGCGATGTGATGGC